TCTCCATTGAATCTGAATGAGATCCTTACTGGGTAGAGCAATCTTGGTTGTAGGTTTTTCCCTTTTATCACTTTAAATATATCCTGCCACTCCCTTCTGGATTGCAGAGTTTCAGCTGTTAACCTTATGGGAATTCCCTTGTATGTTATTTGTTGTTTTTCCCTTGCTGCTTTTAATATTTTTTCTTTGTATTTAATTTTTGATAGTTTGATTAATATGGGTCTTAGCTTGTTTCTCTTTGGGTTTATCATGTATGGGACTCTCTGCACTTCCTGAAGTTGATTGACTATTTCGTTTCCCATATTAAGGAAGTTTTCAACTATAATCTCTTCAAATATTTTCTCAGTCCCTTTCTTTTTCTCTTCTTCTTCTTGGACCCCTAAAATTTGAATGTTGGTGCGTTTAATGTTGTCCCAGAGTTGTCTAGGACTGTCCTTAATTCTGTTCATTCTTTTTTCTTTATTCTGCTCTGCAGTGGTTATTTCCACTATTTTATCTTCCAGGGTGCTTATTAGTTCTTCTGCCTCAGTTATAATGCTATTGATTCCTTCTAGAGAATTTTTAATTTTATTTATTTTGTTGTTCATCATTTTTTGTTTGCCCTTTAGTTCTTTTAGGTCCTTGTTATATGTTTCTTGTATTTTCTCCATTCTTTTTCCAAGATTTCAGATCATTTTTACTAGCATTACTCTGAATTCTTTTTCAGGTAGACTGCCTATTTCCTCTTCATTTGTTTGGTCTGGTGAGTTTTTACCTTGCCTCTTTATCTGCTGCATATTTCTCTGTCTTCTCATTTTGCTTAATTAATGTGTTTGGGGTCTCCTTTTTGCAGACTGCAGGTTCGTAGTTCCCATTGTTTTTGGTGTCTGCCCCCAGTGGCCTGGGTTAGTTCATTGGGTTGTGTAGACTTCCTGGTGGACGGGACTAGTGCCTGTGTTCTGGTGGATGAGGCTGGATCTTGTCTTTCTGATGGGCAGAACCTCGTCCGGTGGTGTGTTTTGGGGTGTCTGTGACCTTATTATGATTTTCGGCAGCCTCTCTGCTAATGTGTGGGGTTGTGTTGCTAATTGTTTGGCATAGAGTGTCCAGCACTGTAGCTTGCTGGTTGTTGAGTGGATCTGGGTCTTAGCATTAAGATAGAGATCTCTGGGAGATTTTTGCCTTTTGATATTACATGGAGCCGGGAAGTCTCTGGTGGACCAATGTGCTGAAGTCAGCTCTCCCACCTCAGAGGCACAGGTCTGACACCCAGCCAGAGCACCAAGACCCTGTCAGCCACACGGCTCAAAAGAAAAGGGAGGAAAATAAATTTAAAAAAATAAAATAAAATAACGTTATTAAAATAAAAATAATTATTAAAAATAAAAAAATTAAAAGGTAATAAAAAAAGAAAGAAAGAAGAGAGCAACCAAACCAAAAAACAAATCCACCAGTGATAACAAGCACTAAAAAACTATAGTTAAGAAAAAGAAAAACAAAAACAAACAATAAACAAAAAAACAGACAGACGGAACCCTAGGACAAATGGTAAAAGCAAAGCTGTACAGACAATATCACACAAAGAAGCATACACATACACGCTCACAAAAAGAGAAAAATGAAAAAAAATATATATATATATTAAAAAAAGGAAGAAAGCAACCAAATCAATAAACAAATCTACCAATGATAATAAACTCTAAATACTAAACTAAGATAAACATAAAACCAGAAACAAATTAGATGCAGAAAGCAAACCCCAAGTCTACAGTTGCTCCCAGAGTCCACCGCCTCAGTTTTGTGATGATTCATTATCTATTCATGTATTCCACAGATTCAGGGTACATCAAGTTGATTGTGAAGATTTAATCTGCTTCTCCTGAGGCTGCTGGGAGAGATTTCCTTTTCTCTTCTTTGTTTGCACAGCTCCTGGGCTTCAGCTTTGGATTTGGCCCCGCCTCTGCATATAAGTTGCCTGAGGGCGTCTGTTCTTAGCACCCACAGGATGGGGTTAAAGGAGCAGCTGATTAGGGGGCTCTGGCTCACTCAGGCTGGGCAGAGCAGAGGTACGGAATGTGGGGCGAGCCTGAGGTGACAGAGCCTGGAGTGATGTTGCAACAGCCTGAGGCATGCCATGTGTTCTCCTGGGGAAGTTTTCCCTGTTTCACGGGACTCTGGCAGTAGCTCCCGGGAGGGGAGGTGTGGATAGTGACCTGTTCTTGCATATAGGCTTCTTGATGGCTGCAGGAGCAGCCTTAGTGTTGCATGCCCGTCTCTGGGATCCGTGCTGGTAGCTGCAGCTCACGACAGTCTCTGGAGCTCGTTTAGGTGGTGCTCTGGATCCCCTCTCCTTGTGCACCCTGAAACAATGGTCTCCTGCCTCTTAGGCAGTTCCAAACTTTTTCCCGGACTCCCTCCTGCCTAGGTGTGGTACACTAGACCCCTTCAGGCCCTGTTCATGCAGCCAACCCCAGTCCTCTCCCTGGGATCTGACCTGCGAAGCCCGAGGCTCAGCTCCCAACCCCCACCCACCGCAGCGGGTGAGCAGACAAGCCTCTCAGGCTGGTGAGTGCTGGTCGGCACCGATCCTCTGTGTAGGAATCTCTCCGCTTTGCCCTCCGCAACCCTGTTGCTGTGCTCTCCTCCGCGGCTCCGAAGCTCCCCCCTCCGCCACCCGCAGTATCGGCCCGCGAAGGGGCTTCCTAGTGTGTGGAAACTTTTCCTCCTTCACAGCTCCCTCCCAGAGGTGCAGGTCCTATCCCTATTCTTTTGTCTCTGTTTTTTCTTTTTTCTTTTACCCTACCCAGGTATGTGGGAAGTTTCTTGCCTTGTGGGAAGTCTGAGTTCTTCTGCCAACATTCAGTAGGCATTCTGTAGGAGTTGTTCCACATGTAGATCTATTTCTGCTGTATTTGTGGGGAGGAAGGTGATCTCCACGTCTTATTCCTCTGCCATCTTGAAAGTCTCCTAACATGAGTTTTTCTAATTGACGTATTTTGGAAAATAGTTCAAACTCAATGTCATTTTTATAATTTATATACTCTTCCCATATTTTGTTTTACACTTTATATTTTCTTAAGTTCTGTTTACATCTTTAAGTGCTAACTTCATACTCTACTACTAACCACATTTAGCCATATCAAGGAAGGAAGGGAAGGAGGGAGAGAGATGGGGAGAGAGGGAGGGAGAGAGGGAGGGAGGAAAGGAAGGAGGGAAGGAAAGAAATAGGAAAAAATGAATAGCACTAGCCAACTGTTCTTGATAAACCCAAACAGAAAATATGATCAACAGACAATATCTAATATAGTAAACAGACTTTATGCGCATTTGTAATTTTGGGGAGGCCCCTTAAGATTCATGCACATAACACAAGTTGGTTCTCATGAGTAAAACCGCAAATGAAAATTTTCATTTTTTAGAAGACTTGTAGGCATAATAAATAATTCATTCATTTAATGCTCTTCTCTGGTATGTGTCCATATGTATACAGTATGTTACAATGAAAATGCAGTTGGATTCATGTTTGTGATTACACATTCATGATTAATGGCTGTGAAGCGTACAATTATGGTGATTATACTTTTAACTGGTTATCATATACAAATGTGACAGTTTTTCCCATAAATGCATACAGATGAATAAGCAATCAAAGTGCACATTTTTTCTCCAAAAACGTAAAGCCTTCTGATAACAAAAATTAATAGTTGAAGTTCTAACTCTACAAAGCAAGAAATGGAAAACGATGTTATTTCCCAAGAAGAAATCATTTCATTCTCTTTTTAACCTGCAATTCAAATGCTCTGTGATTTCTTTTCATTTAGAAACCTTATTCTTATTTTTGCTTCTTGATGTTACATATGGTATGATAAACTTCTCTAAGTGTTGCATACTGCACAAAACTTCTGACATGTAGCATAAAGGACAATGATTGATATCAAAAATTTGTGTTGACTGCAGCTCAGCCCAACTTGTCTTTACTCTTATTGCTGTATATGTGTTCTCTTCCTGCCTGTTATGTGGCAGTCAGGCTCTCCTTTCTCTTTCTAGCCCCTTTGACACTTGATTGCCTCATCTCCCCTTCATCATCATCTCTCTAATCCAAGGAAATAGAACTGCCCTTTGTCTCGTTTCTCAAGGATCATACTTGTCATTGAATCCATACTAATGAGTTAATTTCTATAAATTTGTTGCCTTTTCTAGTAGGAACTATAGATTTTAGTTAAGACTTCTTGTAAAAAATGAAGGCCTCCCCTCCAAAGGAGTAAGAATTTCAGGAACTGACATAAGATAATTAATATATGGTCAGCTGAAACTTATAGTACCTTAGAAAATATGCCAAAGTAAGGGCTAGCTGCCTTTTGTGACCAAGCTTGTATAGACCAACATTTAGTAAAAGAAAAACAAATGAGAGAATGAAAGCACTTCTGGAACACTTTATTTTAACCAGATCTACATTTACACCTATGCAGTACGAACTTCCCAATGTCATCTTAAATCCTTTCTGAAACAAGGCAAGGAAGAAATAAACAATAAATATAATAATGAATTAATAATCTCATTATAAAACACTTTAATTATTTTTTTTTTAATTTTAAGAGCTTTTATTCTCCTTGATTTTACTGTTTCTCTTTCACTTACATTGAAGAACTTAATATGTTAATAAACACAGGATTATGACCAAGAAAAAAATTCATGAGATCTATTTTAAAACCTTTAGACTAATCTCAGTAATAATTATCAATAGGATCTTATTAGAACTTTTCCCTATATGTTATACTTTTTTCTTATTATAATGCTCTGCTGTAATCCAAGGCCATTATTAATAAAATGTTAAATACAGTTTTCACAGATAAGTTATATTTAATTAGGTTTTAATGTCTGAATTTTAAGAATCTTGTCTCAATTATTTTTTTGCAGACCTATCTTATTATTGCAGTCTTGATAAATATTTATTTTAATTTTATGGCAGTTGGTATTTCATTTGGTATTTATTTGACTGACTCATTTGTTCCTTTCCCTAGATTGCCTGTGCCGTTTTTGCTGCTCTCTTACATTTCTTCTTCTTGGCTGCCTTCACGTGGATGTTCCTGGAAGGAGTGCAGCTCTATATCATGCTGGTGGAGGTTTTTGAGAGTGAACATTCACGAAGGAAATACTTTTACCTGGTCGGCTATGGGATGCCTGCGCTCATTGTGGCTGTGTCAGCTGCAGTAGATTATAGGAGTTATGGAACAGATAAAGTGTGAGTTTACGTTTTCTTTCCTTTTTTTCTCTTTTAAAATCTAGTTGAAATTGAAACTTTGCATTTTCTCAGAAGCTAAGGTCTTTATATCACTTCACAGCAATAAACAACAGAACTGTAGAAGCAAATGGAGATAATTCAATTCATGGGTTGTACTTTTGTTATGATGTGAAGAGAGAAAAAATATTCCTGAGATTGCACATCTACATCACAACCTTGAGTAATTATAAAAGGATGATACTTTTAATATCTTTCAGAGCATTGAGACATTTGTCAAATGAAGAGCTAGCTGTATTAAAGATGTGTATTCAGAGGACAGTGTAGTCCCTGACTTTAATGGCTTCTCTTCTTCCTGACATGTCAATTCTAGTCACTAGAAAGTAACTTATATCATTAACAGAAAGATAGAGCATATGAGCAGGGGCAGCTTGTGTTTTCCTTTTTTCCCCTAGGTGGCTATTGGGGTATAGTGATGAACTTTATTTTCAACATACCTTCAAATTGGTGAAACATACCCATAGAGATGATCAGCATACTTATGGAAAGGAATTCAGTGAAAAATATTTCAGTAATCCACATCAATATAATAGTTGGGATCCTGAGAATGAATGAGTTTCAATAGAAAAAGTTTAGAAAGAAGACCAAGATAGATCTCAGATGAATACTCACATTTAGAACATAGAGTGAGGAGGAAGAATAAAAATAAAGAAAGAAAAGAGATGACCAGAGCCTTAAAAGAGAACCATGGGAAAAGTGAGAAGAAAGTTTCAAGGTGGTATTCTCTGTCCATTTATCCTTTGCAACAACTATTTTGGCAAAGTGCTGGAAGCAGAAGCCAAATTGGAAAGTGTGAAGAGATAAGTCAGTGGCAACAAAGTAGAGTCTTCAAGTGTTATCTACAGCCTGAAAGAGTTTGATTGAGAAATAGTGAAAATATTAATTCATGGTAACAGTAATGAAGAAGGATTTTTAAAAATGAAGTCCCTAAATATCTTGGGTGGGAAGAATCAAGTTGGTAAGAGGAGATTAGTAGAGATAAAGTATCTTATGCCTCATTTGTATTAAATATACATATAGGCTGAATGAAAAGAAAAGGTCCTAGGGGGATAGAAAGACATAAGATTAGACATAAGATGAGAAAAACATTGATTTAGTACTGAAAATGGCCTTAGAATTCACCTAGTCCAAGGCATTATTTTTATAGATGAAAAAAAATCAAGAACCAGATAAATTAACTGCCTTGTCCATGGTGATTGATGTAGATAGTGGCAGACGTGTGATGAAATAAGTCAGGCTTATTTCCACTAAAACTAGGACGTTTTTGAAACAGTCAGATGACCCCTGTCTTCTGAGGTGTGAAGGAAATAACAGAAAAGATAAATTTGGAAGTGGAGGAATTTTTCCATCAAATAGGAGATGCTGATTTTTGAGTGAATAGGTGAGGTCACACTGAGAGGACAGATTTGAAAAGCTTTGAAATGAGCACTATGGAAAATGTATTAAGGAGCCAATTAGACATTAATAAAACGATTTCCAAGCAGTAGTGTAGGCTCAGATGAGGTTAGACAACATCAATTGTACAAAAGTTAGTAAGTCAAATTTCATGACTTTTCACCAGCAGTCAGCAGCCTGAATATGCTGGCAATAAAGCAGCTCATTTCCCAGAAGAGAAGATTCAGAAGGAGGGAACAAAAAGAGGACTCCAGAGTTATAGGGAGCATAGTTAAAATAGAATATACGTTGGTGTAGAAGCACCAACAATACGATTAAAAGAAGACCATCTCTGGCTTCCCTGGTGGCGCAGTGGTTGAGAGTCCGCCTGCCAATGCAGGGGACAAGGGTTCATGCCCCGGTCCGGGAAGATCCCACATGCCGTGGAGCAGCTAGGCCCATGAGCCATGGCCGCGGAGCCTGCGCAAAAGTCACTTGTTTTACATTCCAGAGAGAGAAGGGGAAGCATGTACTGGTGGTGATACTTGTTGCTTAGAAAGATCCCGGAATATTTAAGACATATAAATATTATTTTAATTTTCAAATAAGGGAGTGAAAAATGGGCTACATAAAACAATTTGTCTAAATGTAACTAATAGTAATTATTTTTTAATCTAACCTTTGTGAATTGTGATCGAATCTGAGGTCATTTTGTGTATCCCAGTGGCAATCATGGACCAGATTAGGCTTAGATAAAAATATTGCCTGTATTTGGTCCTAAAGACATTTTAGGGGAGGGGGATTAGATCATAGAATTTAATAAAAAACACCTTTATTCGTATAATTTGCATACCATAAAATTCACTCTTTTAAAGAATACAATTCAGTTGTTTATAGTACATTCAATGTTAGGCATCCATCACCACTATCTAATTTTAGAATATTTTTATCCCCTCTAAAAGAAGCCCATTAGCAGTTACTGCCCTTAGATCATAGGATTTTACATTTTAATTAATGCATTTTCTCTCTAATTTATTAAATTGACTGATATTGTTATTTGTGACCTATACTATATTGTCCTTATATAGTTCAATTTTGCTCTCTTGCAGTTCTTGACTTGCTTTTATTTTTGTTTTATGTTTTTTCTCTTTAGATATTTGCAAATTTTCCTATTACTAAACTGACAACTTGTTTGCTTTATGTTTTAGTCATTTATTTTGAAAGAGAGGTCATTTTCTGGATAGCAGGAATCTATCTTTTCTTAGAATCAATACTATGTAGTCTCTTGTGACTTTGTTAAAGTTTTGGCCATCATTGCTTTAATTTCCTGCACCATAACTGGAAGATCTCATTTACTGACATTATCACTTTGTGAGAATAGAGGCTAATTTTTTTCCCAGGCATTGATTTAAAACAAGCCTTAATAATAGTTCAGTTTCACCATTATGATTTTCCCCAACACAAAGAGAAGCAAAAACAGATACAGATAAAATAAATGGTAAATGAAAGAGGGATAGAAAAGGATAGGGAAAATTGCACTACAATTCTTTCACAGGTGGGCATAGAGCATTTAGTGTCTCATTTGTGCATTTTCAATAAATTGTCCAGAGAGAGACCTTCAAAATACACGGAAAAAAGATTTAACTTCTTCCTTTGGGAATTCATCCAACTCAACGTCTATACAGTGCTGTTTTGCCCATTGAGGAAGCAGGTGTTGAAAAAGAACCATTATTCAATCATTTGTATTTACTTGATAAGCTGAAATGAACAGATCATGTTTCCATCAGGAGTTTAATCAAGATATTGTCTCAAATAAAAATATAAGCAATGAATTTTTATACACTGGAAGGATTTCTACATATAGAATTATGTATTTTGTTCCTTCTTATTAAATCTGTTTTTGTTTTCTGGTTTCTGTTACTATTGTTTATTTCTTTTATTTCAAATGGCATTTCCTACTTCCTGCTCATCACATTTGGGGGCTTTTTGGTTTGTTTGTTTGTTTTTGCCAGTGTCACCTTCTTATGTGCTACATTGATTTTTTTAAATACAAATATGTAAAGTCTACAGTCATAAATAAACTGGAATTAGCCAGGATTCAGAGACATATTGTCACTCATTTTCTGTAAATTCTTATTAAGCTTAATACAGTAAATTTTTATTTCTTGGAAGTCTATTTTACTTATTTTTGGAATTTTGTTATTATTAAATTTTTACTTCTTAGTCTCAACCACTTGGATTACATCGAGACTAAAACAACTGAATACACATTACAGTAATCCAAATAACAAATTTCTCTTTCTTTTCTCTCCTCTTAATGTATTTTATTATAATAACAATGAGGTTTTATTTCTGAAACCTTTAATAATAATAGCTTACATTTCTAAAAAGTAGAGAATCGTATCAATGGTAGGAGATAAAATTAGAGACAGAATTGTTTTTGTAGGTTAAATAAATGTTATTTTGATACAGATAGAGGTAACTATCATATTCCATTTGGCTGAAGGATTATGATGTGTTTTTCTATGAAATGTTATTAGGGCTGTTGAATTGATTATTATGTAGAAAACACATACTCACACATAAAGCATACATAATTTGATTTTGAGAAGTTGCTTAGTTTGCCATCAATTTGCAATATTTATAAGAGAATCTCATTATTTTCTGATGTTATTTAATGAGATCTTTTTATCTCTATTGACATTATTCTCGAGATAATTTACTTAGAATTACATTTAGTCACAATTATCAGACACTTAAAAAATCAGATTAAAGGTCCAATACAGTCATTAAAAAAAAAAAAAAATTCATCTAGTGGACCACAGGTCTAAATTGCACTGACTATGGGGTGTTTTCCATTTTCTCTCTGTTTTTCTATCTACCATTAGTCTCTTATACTGTTATTCATATGAACATTCAGTGAAGCCGTCATGGGGTTATAGCTCAAAGGGAGAGCATTTGACTGTGGTGAAGCTGTCCAATATGATGCTGTCAAAAAATAAAGGCTGACATTGACTTAATAATTCAAACACAATTGATACGGAAATTCTGTGCTAAGTACTTTGATTTTATGACCTGAAACTAATCAGTTCATGTAAACTTTAATTACTGCAATATTACCTCCAAAAATGCAAACTGAACAGTTAATTTTTATTCAAAGGGAAAAAATTCCATTTATAGTTTATAGCACTTTCCTTGAAATCTAACTTTATGACAGAAAAAGCAGTGGTTAAAGTCATGGGTAGATTGGAAAAGGACTGGAAGTAGCTTCCAAGAAGAGGAGAAAGGAGGGTGCTGGGAAGGAGTAAAGCTCAGAGAATAGCCCAGAAATTAAAATGTGGGCTCAAAAATTGGTAAAAGTTTTCTGAAAGATGTTGATTAGGTCATGAACATTTATAATGGACCAGAAAGAACATCCTTGAGTTCTAAAAGCATAACTGAGCTTTTAAAAATAATTGAAATCAATTTTATGATCTGAAAATTATTATAAATCATCTGTTAAGTCTTAGATTTGTCTCCTTAGCTCACTAGCTTAACAACAGCTCCTAAAGGAGTAGTCTCTCCTCTGC